GACGATCGACTAAAAAATTTTCGTGATACAAAAATCTTTAGACAAGTATGATGACGAACGTGGCTTTTTTTAAATTCCCAAATTTGTTCAATAATAACAATGTACGTCTCATATAAATATGTAAAATTAATAGAATTAAAAAGAAAAAGAAACCTCAAAAACTTAACTATTTATACATGATGACAGATGTTATTGGATATGTTATTGACATTCTTCAAAATCTTCATGATGGAAACACAGAGTATTGCTTGAATTCGCAATATCAAGGCCAACAAAGTGAAAATACAATAAAATTGGATTATGTATTAAGGAAATTATTAGAGCGTCACTTACAACTTGAAAAACAAGTTGCTCAATATCAAGCATTTCTCAGTGAGTCTGATTCAATTGTGATAATAAATGATACAAATGAATGTTTAGAAGTGCAAAATCTTATTAATGGCAACAGTCATCCTAACACTGTTGCTCCTTCAGATGATTTCAACAAATCTTCTTCAACATTGCCTGCTTTGGTTCATGATGATCATGTTTGTTTAGAATGTCTTAACCAATGTACAACTGTTGCCATAGCTGTCACTTCTGGAGATTTCAAAAAAAGAGTTACTTGTCCCTATTCATCAGGTCCAATCCTTACTTTAAAAAATGCAATCAATAACATGGTTGAAAAAATTGACAATGTGGCTTTTGAGTTGATTCAAGTTGCTCATGAAGTTGACAATGGAAGATTAGGAACTCAAGCTAAAAATCAATATTTAGATGGTGTCTGGAAAGAAATGATGATTCATCTAAATATGATGGCTAATAATCATTCTGAACAAGTAAGAGATATTGCTAAAGTATGCACTGCCATAACACATGGTGATTTAAGCAAAAAAATTACTGTTGAGGTTAAAGGTGAAACCCTTGTACTAAAAAATACTATTAATATTATGGGTAAGATTTCAATAATAATACTATTATTATTATTGAATTATATTATTGGTTATTATTATTATTTATTATTATTACTCATTTTTAATGTAATATTATTTTTTTTTAGTTGATCAATTAAATTCTTTTGCTTCAGAAGTTACCCGCGTTGCTCATGAAGTAGGTACTGAAGGAAGACTTGGTGGTCAAGCTATAGTTAAAGATGTTGGTGGTACTTGGAAAGAATTAACAGACAATGTTAACACCATGGCAGAAAATCTCACTTCTCAAGTGCGTGACATTGCAAATGTTTCAAAAGCTGTTGCTCATGGTGATTTGAGTAAAAAAATTACTGTTGATGTTAGGGGTGAAGTCCTTGAACTAAAAAATATGATTAATACTATGGTTGATCAAGTAAGTTTAATCAATTATTTTTTATTTATATATAATATTTATATTTATAAATTTATTTATATTTTTTAAATAATCATCTATTAGTTATCTACATTTG